TAAATAAAAAAGGTACAATTTGGCAAGGAAGGTAAAAAGGCAGGAAGAGGCGGCATGTTGCGGCTACTTCCGCGGTTCGATTTAGGTGATATGCTAGTGTGGATGTGATTTGATTTGTACTGTGATGTTATGACGAAAGTTATTGCTCTCGTTGCTGTCCATTGATACTTGTCCCTAGAAAATGTAATTCGGATAATTAAATATTATTTACATAGGTAGTATATAAATTGACAATGTGTGCTTTTAATAATAGTTTTGAATTTTTTTATTAAGAACTTGGTAACAATGACGACCTAAAACACCGAAAAAACACTGTGTGTGTGTGTGTGTGTGTGGAGTGTTAGTCACCACCCCTATTCGTCCCGTGAGTGTCGTAGAAGCCGACTAAGGCAGCAAACTACTCAGGACAACAGCACTGCAAAGAGAAGGAAAACTTAAAACAACTCATAACAACTCGTCTGGCCAGCGTGGATAGGTATATGATGAATATGTTATAAGCTACAAATAATCATCACGCAAGAAATTATAGACACATATAAATAACTGCAAAGAAGGTAACACCACGCGGGACAACCGTTCAATATAATAAATAATTCGTATCCATACTTTTATCATCGTAGTGCAAGAGCTACACTTTTTTCTTAATTTGATCAGCAATTGTTCAGATAATAATAACACACTCATAGGAACGATTAAAAAAATGTGGCTCGTGCTTAAACCATAGCCATCTTTTTTCATGGTGCCATTTAGTTTTTTATCTTTTTATGTTTTGGCGCAATGTAGTGAAATTAATTGTGGTAGCATGTGTTTAATGACAAGATGAATAGTCGGGCAGATGCAGACGTTTTAAGTTCTGCTAGTGTAGATAAAAAGTTAAAAATGAAAGTAAATAATATGGTGAGAGCTCTGTTAAGAAGAGAATTAATTGAACAAAGCTCAAGCAAACTAGTATTTAGTGTTAGAGAAAGGATTGGTGGTCTATCAAGCCCACGGTGACCAGCCGGAGTGGGTGATTTGGAGTGTTAGATGATGAATTCGTCTCATCAAATCAAATCAAATGCGTTTCTTCTGTTCTCTTTAATTTCCGTATTGTTGCTAATAAAATTGCTTGTTAAATAAATACATAGTTTTTAACAAAAACTGGGGTGCTTTGTTGAATACCTGCTTTCGGCTTGAAAGACGAAGACCATTGTCTTTGTGTGATAAATTCATTAGTTACTTTTATTCTATTCATATTATCACTCTCACATATTACACATTAGGTATATTTCTTTACGCATTTTCTACGTTATCCCTGCATTGTATACGATAAATGGTAATTAATATGAAAATAAATCACATTGTCGTCTCTGTATCAAAATCATGACATAAAAAACTATAAGGAAGAATTTTGACCCAGCTTACAGGTAAGGTAGTTATTTTACGTCTTCAGATTATTATACCTTATTCCTAGGTGTAAAATTAAGGTCTTAAAAGACCTGAGGGTTTTAAGCATACAAATATGAATTTAAGAATAAAGGAAACTAATTGGATTGTGCTGTCACATTGCAATTAAATATTTTGTATCAGACTACTGATGCTATAATGCAGCGATTACTTCTACGATTACCTCGTTTAGGCAGATCTGGAAGGCATCAATTGTGATCCATTATGTTAAATTTTTACACTTCCAGAAAATATTCAATCCAATATTACTCGACCCAAGTATTTCGTCCATCAACATGTCCACACCACATGCCGTTATTTCAAAATGAATTAAACAAAAACTTTGTATTAGTATCTTAGAACATGTCATGATCTCTCATAAAAGATCTTGACTAAAAGCAAATCACTTTTCTTTTAATTTTCTCAAGACTTGTCACTTGCACAATTACAATAAAAATAATATCTGAAAGTGTTAATTTAGGAAGAATAGGCTACGAGTCCGGGAATTTAAAAAACTTAATCGGTATGCATATGTAATTGAAAACATTTTTCTGTTTTTTTTTACAAAAGGCAATGAGCATTTTGTTCAATCCAATTCCATTCTGTTAAATCTGTCGTTCTCATGGAACAGATTGTGATTCAATATATTGACAAAAAAATGGTCAGCAGTGTAAACGCTTAAAAAATATTTGAGTGTTGTTCATAAATCGATATTTAAAAAAAACACTTAAAAAATAAGCATTACGCCGAATAGCGGAAGTTTGGCACATGCCACGCTAAGCGTCAGCGCCACGGAGCATACCGACTAAAAAACCATAGTTTTATTTAAACTTTTTTGTACACTGCGCGCTTTTTAGCAAGTATTTTTTATCTGTGGGCACAGAAGGTTTTTATAGTGACCAGATGTTGTATGCAGATGACAATTTTTTATTTCTTAGTGCGATTTTTAGTGGTTTGTCAGTAGATCGAACTTTTTTGAAGGCAGATGGTTTGCATATTTATATATTTTTTGTTTAATAGGCTGTATGGATAAAAAATAAACGCGTGTCCTATCAGCTGCATGTTAGTGAATTTGCATATGTACTTTAATGTAAATGGGAATCATTTATAAAAAGCCACATTATATGAAAGGCTACCAGGAACTTTTGTCATAGATATAATAATATTAACTTTAATAATAACTTTATTTAAAGTAAAGATTTACAAAATTCTTAATAGTCTTAGCGTGTATCGAGGCTATCAATACAAAAACGATTATACATTAGGACAGTAGCAATAATTTTAGAATCTTTTATAAATCTCATATGAAACAATAGGAAGAGATCGCGGTTTACTACAATCTTTATTTATTTAATTGACTAAGTTTAACTTGGAGCTATGTGTGTGTGTGTGTGTGTGTGTGTTTGTATCCAGCTTATATCGATCCATTGTATCAATAGTAAAAATTGGCTTATGTGCTATTCCAGACTATGATCTATTTGTGCGAAACTTTATTATTGTCCGTTCTAGCGTGATTGAGTAGCAAACCACTAAATCCTTTCTCAAAAACTTTACACGTTTATAGTTTTAATCGTATGTGCACAGTATTATCGGTGCGAGGTTTAACTCCATTATCATTTGACCGTAAGTTTTATCCTAAGTCATTATCGGATCATTTTAGTTATAAAATGTTATGTAATATAATTTAATTGTAAATTATAAGTGTGTATGTCGGTTATCGTAGTCAAAGTAGTCTAAAGCACTCAGGGATCATATACTTTTCTGACAGTGAAAGAATTTTCAAAATCGGATCAGTAGTACCGGAGATTATCCTGCACATACAAACTCACAAACTTTACCTCTTTATAATATTAGTACAGATAGATAAAAAAATGCGGGTATGTAATTTTGGATTTTGATATGAATACAGATTTACCGGTTTCCGAATCCGATACGGATAATAACGGCCAATGAGTTTTCTTTCATTCTCCGTATTTAAGTCAGAAGATACAAATCTTTTTTTGGTCAATCTCTACTCTTGTATCCGTCAACTTAAATACCTAAAAAAAATTCACTACATTTTTTTACATAATAGTGTATTTTTCACTAATTTAATCACCATTTTTTGTTGTGAAACGTGTGACAACTAAATTCTCCAGTTTTCAGTCACGTGAGTACTTTTTACTTAATTGTAATTGCATCATATGAATGAACTTTGCAAAACTTAAAACACTCTCGAATTTCGTGAGCCACGACTTAATCGTTGACGTTTTAAAAGTATCTTTTTCAGTAATTTATCATAATGCATCCCTTTGTACGTAGCGCTTCATAAATGTCAAACTATTGGCCTGAATCGCAATATAGGGCCGTTATCGTGTGAAGTGAAGTTGTGTAAGACCTCTGGTGATTTTTTTTTATTTACGTAGTTGGCAAACGAGTTGGCACTTACCATCAGTTGGACCGTATGGTCTATTGGACCATTGACACATGCAACTCAGCATACATAAACGCGTTGCCGCCCTTTTTGATGGTATTGCGGTAACCGCACTCACTAGATAAAAAGCGAAAGAAGTGCTTAAATTAGGGGCAGGCCAGCGGTCAGGGCCAGCTCGACCGGAATGGTACCATAGTACCATTCCGGTCAAGCTGACATCTGCTGAAACATGGCTCTCTCGTGGGAGAAACACACAACGAGTCTGAAAATTGTAAATGTAATGAGTTCAGAATATGTATAAACAGAAGAAGCAATTAAAAAAAACCCGTAGTGTATTTGGACTGTTTATTGAAAAAGGATTATGAAATGAGTAGTTTTCCAACTCAGCCGTACACAAAAATAACATCAATAACAAAAAACATTCTAAAATAAATTGTAATTTACAACTTAATCGCGCAAAGTCCGAACCTTTGACTTTTTAAGTATTAGTTTGTTATCATTTCCTTTAAAGGTTAAGAAAAACATTGAGAGTGAACCTGAATTTTGGAAATAGACAGACGGTACTGGGTCAGTGAGGTTGACTATGGACTAACCAAAAGTATAATAATAATAATAAACATCATTATTTATATCTGGTCAGGAGAACCATATCACATCAAGAACCCAGGTAAAAATGGACAACACAATGATATTATTGATAGCACCTATATCATATCAGGTTCCCTGTCCCCATACGATAGTGACTTTTTCATGTAAAACGTCGTGTTTATTTTTTGCAGTTATAGTTTTGATAGTGTTTTTATGTGTTATCTATATAATTTGAAGCTACCCGCATATATTTAGACTTTTATAAATAGTGAATAAATGAATCATATATGATACTTACATGGACGTGACGTTTAAAATTTGACTCCATACGTACCGTTTATCATATAAATCATTGAATATGTGAAGACCAAAATATAATTGATAGCATCCATTTTGACAGTTGACTTATCTTTTTATAATTTGTTTTTTAGTAGGTAAATCCAAAACAGTCAATGAAATTTGACATATTTATACTTTGCGACAAGAGAGATTATACGTGGCAGTGATTTAAGTACTTACTAGTATATAAGTTGTGATTATTTCTGTTATAAGTGCAATTGACTCCTGCAAAAACATGGGTTCACGGGCAGAATATACAGAAGAAGAGATACAGCGAGTCTTAGAGGAAAGCGAAGAGGAAAATGATTTTATTGACGGAAGTGATGAATTATTTCAACCTGAGGAGGATGAGGAAACTAAAGAAGAGGAGAATGAAGAAACTGTAAGTGATATTGAAAGAGAAGTATTGAGAATAACATCATATCGGTGTCCAGAACAATCATCAGTAAGAGAGCCCATTTTATCTTTCTTTGATGAAAATAGTGAGGAATCAGAAACCGAGCGTGAAGTACCTCCAAATTAAAATTAAAAAAAAAAATGTACGAGTATTCATATTCATAATTATGTGTAATACATATATTTTGAAAAAATAAATGAGGAAATGCTGCACTTTTGTTTTATTGGCATACATTTTGTCAGAAAACTTGAATTAATGACAACAAAACTACGGGGAAAAGTCGCCATGGGTTTTTTTTTTTCGAAGTAGACAATGTACCCAATACTAACAATTAAATTTGTATTGCTTGTACGAATTTGCTCATATGTGATGCATGGACGTGGTAAAGATCGTACAAAAATTGCATCATGTATCAAATATGATTCATGAGGACAGTTTCAATTCATAGACATATAGAAATCGGGTTTGGCCTAATGCTTTTTTGTGACACAAAGTAGTAATATCTCACTGATTATGAAAAAAAAACTACTTCAACTAAATAGGTTAGTAGCTTTTTAATTAATAAACAAAAAAAAGTCAAGGTTACAATGAAAATTATCAAATATAATGTAAGAATGATCTAACTAATATTAAAATAGAGATTTAACATGTTTTTTTTATGTTAAGCAAGTTTCAATATATATATATATATATATATTACTATGCCCATGTCTTGTATTTATTAAACCATTACCTATTAATTACCAGCGCGTGATTTTTCTTATTTCGTGTTTCTGACTTTGAAAATAACGAACTTCCATATAATCATTCTACCCTTATTTTAAGGGCGAAATTGCCAAAAATTGTTTCTTTGTGGGTGCTTACAACACACAAAGCATTAGCTGCCAGAATTGCAAGTTTTGAGCCAAATTGGTGTAGGGTTGATGTCAGTCAGTCAGTTGGGGCAAGTGATTTTATATGTATACTCGTATATGTTAAAATCAATGTTTCTTCGTTCGTATTTTATGAGGTACTCTTTTGCAAATTTTATATATATGTTGCCAGGGATACAGCGAAGGACATATATATATCACCCTAAAAAAGTTTTAAAAGGATGACAAAATTAATCTTTCTGGGCCGGAGTCGAGGAGCAAAGCTAACAATAAAAAAGTTCACATTATTAACTACCCAAAGACATACAATATCTCGTAATAGGTTTTCCATTACCGGAGTCGAGGTCTGTTTGAATTCATAGACATATAGAAATCGGGTTCGGCCTAAAGCTTTTGCGTGTCACAAAGTATTAATATCCTACTGATTATCACGCAATTAAGTTATGAATGTGCATCAAAATCTTTTTCTTACAAAGCGCCGAGACGAATTTCGCGGAAACATTAGACATTAAGCGATACACGGATCATGCGAGGATGCGTTTATAATAAAATAAAATATAATTGCTATTCAAAAACAAATAACTCGTGCTTGGCCTGCGGCACGGCCCACAATCAAAAAGTTTTTGGATTTGAATAAATCAATCCCTTATAGAAATGCATCGATATACAGGTTGTCTGGTTTTTGAGTGAAGCCTGTCAACTACTTCTTGCTAAAAGTTAAGCTCTCCAGTTTACAAATACTATTCCGAGTTCATTATATAATATTAGTTATGGAATAAACATTGTTAATACTACATTAAAAAATGAAAATTTAAAAATAATAATTTCAATTTTTTTTTCTTAGCAGTCTGGTTACCATAGCACAGGCTCGGTACCCTTTCTTTCCGACTGACGCAGGTCCTTTCCGGGCACGGCTCCTTCGGGAAGTACCTGCACTCGGTCGCTAGGAGGGAATTGAGTCCCGGCTGTCACCACTGCGAAAGCAGTTAGGACTCGTCTCTGCATAAGCTGGCAATTTGCCCAGCTTGGGCGTCGCAGCGTCGGGTCCTCATTGCAGTCATCGGAGGGGATCTCTCGCTACCGGCCATCACACGCTCCATGGTCGGTAGCGATAGTTGTTTTACCGCGGTCGCATCCTTCTGCCAATACTTCATCTTGCAGAAGGAGGCGGCGGAGAGGGCCCGTGAGGATGACCATGCCGCCCTGAGTGTGGCCGCGGGTGGACGGGACGGGTTTTCCCCTCCATCCGCTACAATGGCTAACTGTGAGGAAGCGACGAAATAGAGAGATTTACCGAAGCTGGCGGGCGCTAAGAGGGGTCTGGATGTCGTAATAATAGCTGTCCCCGGATCTCTCCTATTTCAGGCGCAGAGTGGCACACCGTGTGGTTTGTCGGTTGGATTCTAACACACCGCCCCGACGCAAACATCGGTGAGGTGACGGCCGTGTGTAAGATGTGTTAGATATATTTTATTATTATATTTACAAAACATCAAAACACGAAGGTGGCACTGAAATAGTAAGCAGTATACATAGCGAGGACGTAATAGTGGCATTTGTAATATTAATTTATAAATGTGTTTTTTCATAGTTAAGTTAGTAAGTTTTCCTATGCTTTTCATATTATTATTCACAAAATGGTTGCCTTTCAAGTTAAAAATAATATTATGGCGATTCACCACGGTCATTTTTAACTCAGGACATTCTACAAGTAAGTTTTGACACATGACAACATCCTGTATCCGTGCACTTTTTCGTAACGCTTAGAGGTCGACTTTTTGAGAGATTTTTTCTCCATTTCGATGCCAATTATGCACATTTTTGCCGTCGCGGCCCTTTTGGAACGTTCCATCTCTTCTCATACTCGCTACGACGGATTCCATCAAATAAAAATCGCGTAGGACCCTTTTTGTGGTGGTTTTTGTCCGTATATTGATGAGTCTTCCAGGTTTGAAGGAATTCTCGAGAGGGCATCGAGGACAGACGCTATTGTATCGGATAACCTGATTTCTGTAAGCCCTGTAATATAGCTACGTGTTTATAAAATATTATAAATATGGTTTTATGGAAGCTTTGGAATTCTTTTAAAAGACTCTGAATATTTTTTAAATTTTGTTTAGGCGACACAGGATATATTCCTAGTGCAGTAATATATCCTGCACTAAACGTAGTCTAAAAGTCTGCTTTTACGTAGTCTAAAAAAAGAAAACGATGTTTCCTGCACAAACTGATATCTTTGATCCATGGTACTTACTCACCATCAGGTGACCTGTGTGCTCGTTTTCCCCTATATATACCATAAAATGCTTGTTGTTGTTACAAAACTAAATTTAAACTATTTTAATTGACCTAAAAAGTTATAGAATCTTCGATTGCAATCCTATCGCAATTCATAAAACGACTTTACAAAACTAAAGTTATTACTTTAATACACTTCGCCATTTGCATAGTATGCGTAAGTACAAAGAAAACAAAACTTGAGTACTTAAACAGTATGTAAAAGAAAAACAAAAAAGATGCACTTGGGAACAGGTATGCCCGCAATAATCCTATGTGACAATAGGTGACCCACCTGTCAAAACAAGACTTAACGTACAGGTGATACAGCACCTGACTAAAAAGGGGAGGGGTGGGGAAAAGGGGGCAGTACTGACCAGGTGAGTATATTGAAATAATCCATTAATGGAACTTGGATGATCTAGTGTTGAAACTCTTGTTACGAAATTAGTACATAAGGAAGGGTTTAAAAAGGGTTTGGACATATCTAATAAATGACCGTGATTCCTTTGCCTCATTTAAAAAAATGTGTGTAGTTGATAAATTAGTTTATTTGCCTTATTAAATTAATTTTATGAGTTTATATTTTATGGCTGGTTTTTGAGACATGAACTTTAACAGCTGACCTCGTCATGGTTTATAAATGAAAACCTCCTTTCTAAGGAGAGGCCTATGTCCAGCAGTGGACTAGTATAGGCGTTGATGTGTGATGTGTATGTGATAAAACAAATCCATTGCGAAAAAATTTATCGGTATGCATATACTCAATATGATTTATATGATGGTCCCAAAATTTGTTATTCATTTGAGGAATTACAAATCCCGGGATTATCATGTGTAATTCCGGGTATATAACAGTTTAAATTAAAACTCATTTTATAATGAAGGTATGCTAACATACATACATGAATTTTTGCTAGTACTTTTTAGAATCACGTCGTCTGTTGTTAGTCCGCCCTACCGTTCGCAGTTATCTAAGAGACTGTTAGTACTAGAAATCTGAAATTTGGCATCGGCGTGACAAATATATATAGTATACTAGCTGACCCGCGCAACTTCGTCTGCGTCTCTCAATAGTAATAAATTTTCTCCGTTTTTGAAACATTCTTCATTGGTGCTCCGCTCCTATTAGTCTTAGCGTGATGATATATAGCCTATAGCCTTCCTCGATAAATGGGCTATCTAACACTGAAAGAATTTTTCAAATCGGACCAGTAGTTCCTGAGATTATCGCGTTCAAACAAACAAACAAACAAACAAACAAACAAACTCTGCAGCTTTATAATATTAGTATAGATATTAGTCACGCCGTTGAAATGGTAAAAAAGTACTGTGCCATAAAAACAGCACTCCAAAAATTCATTTAAAAGGAGAAGTATCATGGCTAAGTTAGCTATATTAGTTACTGCTTTTAATGACTTTATTAAAACGGGTATTTATACCACGGAACCACATTGCGTGTGGCTCACACTCACTTGGCTGGTTTTTGACACATGAACTTTAACAGCTGACCTCGTCATGGTTTATAAATGAATACGTAATTCAAAAGAACTCCATGACAGTTCCGTTATAGTTTTAAAGAGTAACGTGTACCTTATTGATTTTTTATTATAAAGCTATTTCCATACAGTAATAAGCTTAGGTTTTAGTGCATTAGGTGAATTAACTGGCCAAAATAACTAGATTTTGTGTCGTTTAAAATAAAATTTAAACTTTAATTTTCATTAAATTGGTCACCGAAATCCCCCAATGGAATTTTTAATAATTAAAATTATAGATAAAGGCATGCAAAGTAACCGCAAGAAGAGATTGCTTTGACAATGTAAAATTACAATCCATAAACGCATCCATTTCTAATTGTTGAGCCTTATAAAAAATAAATTGAGCAAATGAACTCTCTTGTCATCAGTTAGTCGCACGTCCAGAGCTTATTAATGAGGCGCTGTATATAATATCAATTCGGGATGTCTTGTCGTT